TCTCTCTCTCTCTCTCTCTCTCTCTCTCTCTCTCTCTCTCTCTCTCTCTCTGTGTGTGTGTGTGTGTGTGTGTGTGTGTGTGTGTGTGTGTGTGTGTGTAGAGCATTTCGGAAAAACAAAAAAGGTGGGCGCACTCGACAGGGCGCTGAGGTGGCAATCACACCGAGAAGGAAAGAGAGGAGGACGACGAGAAGGTTGAGGGGAAAGAGCACAAGGTGGAGGAAGGAGAGCTCTCTCCGTTTAAGATGACCTGCTGGAGGAGGTTGGGGAGGGTTGAGGAGGACGAGGATTGCCTTGTGCTCCTCTCTCGGCTGTCTTCCCTGCCATGGCCATGTGGAGCTCTTTTCCACGCCTGCGGCAAGACCACTTGTTTTCCTGAAGTCAACTACCACTTCGTGGGGCACAGGTTGCCTCTGTTGACCTTTAACCCTGACCTGTTAACACAATGACTTTTTCTGAGCCCCTTCTAGGGCAGGAGACGTGACTTTTGACCCCTGGATCTAGATTTAAAAGTTGTCACCCTGGACTCTGTCTGTGCAGATTTTGAAGTTTGAACTGAGTTCTCTGCCGTGCAAGTAGTACTCCAGATTCAGTTTTTACCATATGCCACATAAAAGCGGTATCAACCCATAGTACCTTTATCTAGAGCAGAAGCTTAGCGATAGGTGTCGCAATGTTCTTTAATTATTTGGATTAGGGAAGGACTTTTTCTGAGCCCCTTCTAGAGCAGGATACGTGACTTTTGACCCCAGAATGTATATTTAAAAATTATGACCGCGGACTCAGTCTGTGCAGATCTTGAACTGAGTTCTTTGCAGCACAAGTAGCACGCCAGATTCAGTTATTAGTACTTGTTACCATATGCCACATAAGAGGGGGATCCCTAGTAGTACCTTTATATAGAGCAGCAGCCTAGCAATAGGCACCGCAGTGACCGCAATGTAATTTAATCATTTGAATTAGGGAAGGGATCTAAGTGTCTGATAAGCACAGGCTATACTCAACACTTTCACATTGCCTACTTCTTGACCTTGGATACATTGTATGTATGAGTCTGACAAAGTGACTGGTGAGTCTGGTGGGCTGTTGGTCTTGTCCTTTTTTACCCTTTTTTTTTCCTGTTGGTCTTGTCTTTGGATTGAAAGCAGAGTAGTTTTAGTGCTTTGTGCCAGATTCAATCATACAGTTTTTGATGCTCGATGTCTACCTGAGAAGATTTGGTTTGGATTGAAAGCAGAGTAGTTTTAGTGCCTTGTGCCAGATTCAATCATACAGTTTTTGATGCTCGATGTCTACCACATGACTGCCAGAGAAAAAACTATTCCCTACACATCGTCCTTTTTCATACATACCTTGAAATCACGATCACCAGCATCCAACAGACTTCCAATTGCATGCTGGCCATGGAATGCTGTCCTTTGTAGCACCCAAGCATCCCTGCAATGCAGACATCATCGCTCACGCATCAGCGCTGTTATGCACATTTATCTGAGGGAAAGAGAGAAACCTCGACGTGTCAACGTGCTAAGCAGTTCAGATGTGGATGAAGCCCATTCACATGCAGATTCAATCATTCGACACTTTGAAAAATTTCCTCCTAGTACGGCCGATCAACATGACACCCGGCTGTATACCTGAAACTTCGGAAGTTTGCCGCCAACTGTCACTTCTATAGGTCATCCTCTGGACTAAACTCACCTGCCTTCCACTCCAGATGGGTCGCTGTCAGTAGTGGTCCGGTGGACCACGGATCAGATATTAAACTGACCAGAACAGATACTACACTTGATCATAGCCAAAAGGCCGAGAAAGGTATAATTCCGCCTCTGGACATTAGGCCCATGTGGAGCCACAGGTACGGACCTGTCCCACAGGGGGAAGAAGCCAGTATCACCTGTTTGGAACCAGCTGACCCATGCGAAACACAAAGGGGTGACTGTATTTTCCATAGTTGAGAAAACTTTTCAACAAAGAATGCCAGGCTGCAGAAGTCCACTTTTGAACACCGTGTCCTGGCTGTAGTGGTTAAGATACCTGGCTCTTGAGGCCGAGGTCGCTGGTTCGAATCCGTGCTTGCTGGGATGGGTAGAGCCGTCCTGTAACCTCAGCGTTGGGGAGCTAGATGTGCAGATCCATTTAGCTGCTGTGGAAGCACCCGTTAACCGCGGGATATGTGGCCCATATAGGTGGACGGGAGGGAGTACCAGTGGTAAGGGTTTGTGCTGATTGGCGAGAGCGAGGTGTGCGAGAATTCGTCGTGTCTGTGTGGTGTTGTGTGTGGTGTGTGTTGAGTTGGACACTACAGCCTTGCAGGGGTGGGGTGGATGTCACGACCGGTATGGTTCCACTTTTGAACACCGTGTCCTGGCTGTAGTGGTTAAGATACCTGGCTCTTGAGGCCGAGGTCGCCGGTTTGAATCCGTGCTTGCACTGTGGAGGACGTCGGGCTCATGCCGGGATGGGTAGCGCCGTCCTGTAAACTCAGCGTTGGGGAGCTAGATGTGCAGATCCATTTAGCTGCTGCAGAAGTCCATATGCCTTGGTTGTGGCACTGCTGTGGGGGCACTGGAAAGCAGTTTCCAAGCTTCATGGAGCAGCACTAATTCATGCCACTTGGTCTTGGAGCTTCTGCCTATAGCGGATGCACACTTCCACTGACACTTGTGAGGACCAGCACTAATGCATGCAACAGGGAAGGAGAAGCCGGCGCTGAGGCCCTAGAAGGAGGCATGTGGTCAAGTTGCCTATGGTTCTGATCACAGAAGGGAATGTTTGGGCTGAAGAGAATCCATTCGGACAGTTCTCTTGCTGGTGGAACCCAAGTTGTGGTTCCTTGGCATGCAGAAACTGTCAAAATCATTTTGAAATTGTAACAAGAGTAGATATTTCCTTAGTTGCGGACCTGGCATAGGAGGTTAAAGAAGAAGAAGGCAAAAAAGAGAGTCATAGTTTGTGTAGATTTCCCCTTTGGTGTGACCATCTCCATCTTCCTGCTCTGCTTGGCCACTGAACTGAACGCAATTCACGGTGTTTGCAGATGTTGTGAGAGCATTTATGGCCACAAATTTGACAATCCAAGTATATGATAACTGCACTTCTGTTTCTGTTTCATAGTCTCTTGCACGAATGTGGAGGACTCATTTTTCAGCAATGGTGTGACTAGGAAGCAGGCATAGGCATCATGTGGGAGAATCCTTCTTGTTGGGGAATAGAACAAAAGAGGAGATGTCCTTTGCGACATCCGTTAAAATTGCAACAATATAGAGAAGATTACCATGGCCCCTGTGCAAGGATGACACACATAAATCGAGAAACGTTCCAATAACAACAAAGAACAAAAGAGAGGAGATATAGTTTGCTTACAGATGCTCATTGATGATGTCCTGTGTCATTCGCATCTCTTGGCATGTGAGGTCTTCACCATCTAGTTCAAATTGCAGTGCTGGCCGCCTGACCCCACCCACCCAGCAGTTCCAATTCACAACAACAGCATCATCACCCAAGGTCAATTGCATACCGTCTACAGGGCATCAACAAGGAAGGGGACTGCAGACAAGTCTATGGCACATTGCCTCCATCTGGACCATCCCAGATCGAACCATTTCACAGCTGAAGAGTCGGAATCTACTTCTGGGTCAGCAACCCCAACAGAACGAAACTACATACCACAAATGGAATGGCATTTTATCACAGACTGTCAATTCAAAGGGGGTCTCAGAGTTAGAGACCCCAAGCAAAAAAACAAACCACACCAGATCACGTGGATTATGAAGCTACCGAGTGACCAAAACCTCCCATGAGGGAACCTGGTGAGATAGTATAAGATTCTTGACCCCCACTCCATCTCCTGGGAACATTCCCTTCTGAGTTATGAACAAAGAATGGAATCCAAATATGGCCCGCAAAAGAAGACAAAGAGCCACACACACCCCCACCTGAGTATCCACCCCCTCTTCCCTACTGGACAGGTTTGATCAGGAGCTGGAGGGAGTTATTTCCAAGAAAGCTCCCATTAAGACAAGATAGAAGGAGGAGGTGCTAGGAGAACCCTATTCAGAAACCCCTGGATATGGAATAGTGGCAACCAACCACACATGGTCACTAACCCTCCAAGATAAAAGGTGGTTAACCTGGGTTTGTAAGGGATTTGGAAAAGTAGAAAGCATCTGGGACGAAGGGGAAAAAGAATGGAAAACAACAAAGAAACTTGAGATTCCCCTAAGAGGATGTCATCACCTGGCGGACAATCTCCGACAAACGACACAAAGTACCCCAAAAAAGCTGAAGGATCCTGCTCAGAGAAGAGTTCACCTGAAAACCAGGAGAACGGGGAGTGTTGATCCATGAGTCCCATCCAGGAAAAGCACACCAGTTTTCCCACAAACAGTCCAGCAGGTCTCTAAGGGTAACTCCCAACCAAATACAACGACAGGGATATGTCAGACATTGTGAACAAGGCTGTGGAGGAAGCAGGCAGCATTAGCCACTTTCCTGCTACGAAACGTCAGAGTCATTGACCACGGAGGGTATTTCAATTTTCAAATAGATACTGAAATATCGACGTGAAGTTTCACAGATGGAATGGGCATGACAGGGGGGGAGAGAAAGAAAAAACAGAATCCCTATCCCTATAACTGACTACACAGTCAAACTACCGCCTTCACCCGAATAGAACGCCCGGTCATTATAGCTGTTACGATCCTGGTCATTCCCAAAGTGCAGATTCACAATGAAAGACAATGCCACCCAATTGCGAAAGAAATGAAATCTCTTGCAAAGAGATAGAGACCAAAGAAGAGAGAAAGAAGAAGAAGAAGAAGAAGAAGAAGAAGAAGAAGAAGAAGAAGAAGAAGAAGAAGATGTATACGAGCAAGACCAATGACAAATCCCCCTTCTCTCTCCACCTTCCTCCTCCTTCACTTCGCCAATCTTATTCTTCTTCCAATAATAATAATAACAATGAGTGGATGAACCAGGATCAATGTCCGAAGTCCCTCTTACTGCTGACATCACAATAGGTCCACCATAGCTATGGCTTTCCCCCTTCTTCCACCTCTCACATGCCTAGGCTATGGCGGACTACTGAGGGATCTGCCCTCCTGTGCAAAGGACAACGCAAAGCAGCTATGTTGCTGCACTCCTGTCCAAAGGACAACCCAAAGCAGCTATGTTGCTGCACTCCTGTCCAAAGGACAACCCAAAGCAGCTATGCCGCTGCTGACTAAGCCACCATGCCTGACTCTGCCTCGAGCTTCCTTGGTGCAGCACTACCCCAACTGGGGCCTTCCAGATGCAGCGCCCAACAAGGTGATGAAGATGGTGTCCACCATAGCCAGGTAGATACCTCGCCACTCTCCTCCTTCGCCCCCTTCTTCCTCCTCCTCAGGCTGGGCTGCTCGTCATAGCCAGCCTGAGCGCCCAGCTGCTCGTTACCTCCAGGCAGCGCTGCCCAAGTCCAGTGCTTGGCTCCAGCAGCATGTCGCCAATCCTTGCATACCGCAAATGAGGAGGAGCTGCTTGCTACTCCGGAAGATATAGCGGCCTACTGGCCTCTTGGGCGGTGACTTCCTAGGCCGAGCGGCCTCCCACCAACCGGTACCTCCTCCCTTTCGGAGGGAAACATCATCGCAGGCTCTGCTATCGTCCGAACAAGCCCTAGACTCGGGCTACTTGGACTTGCACCGGCCTACCTCTAACCTACCCTTACTGGGCCTCTATAAATGCCAACTTTTTGTCTTCTTCTGCTCGGCCTCCAATACCCGACACTTCTACCACTACTCGAGTGGTACCGGCCTACCTGCTAGTTCAGCGTTTTTCCTGCTGCTCTAAGTGCCGTGGGCCTATCCCCGCTACTTGAGTGTTTTCCCCGCTGCAACCCTCAAAGTCACGGCCACAGGTAAGTACCGGCCCTGCGGGGCTTTCAACCAACAAGTACCCTTGCGGGTCACACACACACTCAGCCAACAAGCACTCAGACAGGCACGCAACCCAGCAGGCACGCACACACACACAGACTTGGAAACCACAGCAGAATGCGGGAATCTCAGCAAGGCATTCATTCCAGCGGCAAATCCCAGAAATCAGCAGTGTTCTCAGTCTGTGTTTTGGCGGGTCATTACATAGCTGTCTTTGGGGCAACTTCCAGTCCAGATACAGCGATAATTACCGGGCGTTCTATTCGGGTGAAGACGGTATGGTTAAACATGATTCAGACCCAGCGATAAACAAAAAGATGGATAGAAGTGTTGGGCAAGATAGCACCCAGCCTTCCAAAATCCGCTGGAAATAGTTCAAAGCAGTAAAGCCAATTAACATTTACAAGCCTACAATGGTTAATCACCTAATGACTGGCTACATATCTGACAGAAACACAGCAACCCAAGTAGCCCTGACCTGCATAGAACTTGCACAGATCTGGAGAAAGACGATATTCTCCACTCCCTACCGTCTTCACCCGAATAGAACGCCCGGTCATTATCGCTGCATCTGGACCGAAAGTTGTGCCAAATACAGCTATAATGACTGGGCATTCTATTCAGGTGAAGACGGTAGTCAATTCCAGAGCAGCTACTGAGTATTGAGCAAGATCCACTGTCCTCTGCTCGCAATTATTTCCTTCCTCCTTCCCAGAACATCCTCTCCACCTCCTCCTCCGTATTAGCATCCTTTCACTTAGAAATGACCCTCTGGGCCATATGGAAGGAAACGAGCAGTGTTACATCGGACAACACGTGCAACAAAAGGGAAAATGTATGGGCCTCTACAAAAGACCTCACTGAAGTCAAAATTAGAGTTAAATGGAGGCGCCCAAAAAGACTATCTTTGGCCGAGCCAGAGGAGGATTTTTTTAAGGATCAAGCCTCATCAAGGGCAAACTTCTCAGGACCTGGCTATTGGGTGGAAAGATAGCGACCATTGAAGGGTGCTCCATCTACACTGGAAAGGACGGCACAACTCAGGTCCCGAACAAAGACATCTGTCACACCCACGTGAAGATCAGGAGTGAGGACCCCATATGGGCATGAGCGGTGGCGATGGCACTGTCCTTTAAAGATTCTAGATGGACAAGCAAATTTGACACTCTGTGATAGCGCAGTATGAGAGGCATCAAAAAAGGAAAGCCAGCCTGACAGCCGGAAGGAAGCGTATGTGGTGTCAATTGACGTATGTTACTTTTACTCGATGGGGGAAAGGAACCAAACTGACACTCCCCACACTGGACCACAAGAACATGTTTTACAAAAAAACAAGCAACAGAAAAAAAAAAAAAAAAAAAAGGTCAGCAGTTGGGTGGTCTTGAAACTAGACAGCAATGGCTGTGGCAGTATTTCCTGCCCTTATTTGACTCATTCAGAGCCCAGCTAGAAGGACTTGAACCTCCGACCATCAGGTGAAATGCCCAGTGCTTTACCAACTAAGCTATACACCCAAAATCTGGATGATACTCGTAGCAAGAAACTTCCTGCAGAGACTGAAGCATGTCATGAAAGATACTCATAGTGTGCTGTATGGCTAGCTAAGGTACCTCATGACTGTCACCGTGCTCACACACCACCTTGGCAGCCATGTGCATGATTAACACGTACCTTCCAGCAACTCTCTGGATGACAAATCGTTTTCCATTCACTGTCCCTTCAAGTGTCACTCTGGCACTGTTTGCCGAGGGATTTATCACATCTGAGGAGGTCAGTCCTCGAGGGGAGTCAGGGCGAGGGTCTGTGCCACCTGTCAGAGGCCCAACAAAGCCAGATTCAAGCAAGGGAAAACGAAAAGAACTACCAGGTAGTTCCGGAGTCCAGCAATCATCCCAATAACACCACTTTGTTACAACAAGTAATAACCAAAGTGCATTCAGAATGCAATAAACTAGTTCACCAACTTTGCCTATGCCCTTTGGAAATAAAGCTAGCAATCCTTGACAATGCACAAATGCATGTATGCACACACACACATACACGCACACGCACGCACACGCACGCACACACACACACACAC